CATCCATCATCCATCCATCCATCCATCCATCCATCCATCCATCCATCCATCTCACTTCAAACTCAAAGCAGTAAATTAAAAGTTGAATCTTGTTTCATAAAATCTTTCTGGACAAAGACAGAATAAAAATTTAGACGTTTTCTGCAGCGACATGCTGGTGGTTTTAGGTTCTCCTGGTGCTGGCGGAGAATCAGGTCTGTAGTGAAACATGATGCCAGTGCATCCAGACGTGTGTGTATGGCGGCCAGCTTGACCTCTTGACCCCATCACACGGAACCTGACCTGTGGGTGTGAACCCAGAGCAGAAGGTCGTCTCCGGGTGGGAGCTGAACTGGTTGGTGCGTCAGACCCAGAGGAACCAGCAGCCTGACACGGAGGCGGCTGAGCCTCAGTGGCGCCCCTGCAGGCAGCAGGTGAAACATGAAGAGGATATTTTTCTCTGTCTGTTGGAACTAACTAAAAACTTTGACGTCATGATGTTTGTGTAAACAACGTCGTTGGTTTGATTCTTGTTCGTTTGTCAGATTAATCTTCATCTCTTCCCCTCATCTTCCTCCCTCTTCACATGTCCCGTCACTCCAGCCGTCACTGGTTCACAGCGGCGGCGGCTGAGGTCATCGCCGCAGGAAGGCCTCCTCTTCTCCCCGGGTCGGTTTTGGGTCTGATCGGGTCGGATCAGACAGGATTACCAGCTTTTCTCTTTCTCTGTTTCACTGAGAGGAAAGAATCGACGTGAGGAGGCGCGAGGAGGATCTGCCGTCTGCGGCATCGCTGCGTCCAGAGCGACGGTCAGCTGGTTTCTATGGTCACAGATCAATGGGACGCAGCAGAACACAGAGTACTCGCATTTGTGTGAAAACATGTGCGTCTGCTCCGTCTGTGGCTGTATCACCGTCCTGCCGTGTGTGTGTGTGTGTGTGTGTGTGACTGATTCTGCTCTGGGTTCCTTCCAGGCCCATTTTAACCCAGTTTTCCTGCCTATTTCAGTCTCATCATGGCTTTGAGCTCGGGGGAAAGACGTGAGAATGAGACGAGGGAATTAGAGCAGCGTGTGTGTGTGTGTGTGTGTGTGTGTGTGTGTGTGTGTGTGGAGCTGCAGCTGGATGTTCACCAGCTTGCTGCACATCTGTAACAGAATTACTGTAGCAGTTTTAGTTCCATGGATTTGGTGCTGAACTGTAGGTTTAAAAAGCGATCACGCCGTCTTTGTCGATTAGATTGTTTCATATGCAGATGTTTCAGAGTCTGACGCTGCGTCAGTCCTGGTGGCAGCAGCTCCAAGAAGGAAGCAGACGATCCGCCTCCTTCAGGATGAGGTGAGACCATGAAGCCAAAATGGACGCCAACCTCAGCGTAACTTAGGTCAGAGACGCTGAACCTTCAGGTTTGGCCTTCAGCTGGTTTTTGCAGGTGACTGGAGAACAAAATGAGCTTGAAAATGTTTCAGATCCCAAACATCTTCATGTCAGTGGAGACTCAGAGCGTCACAGGCTTTCAGGAAAACTTCACTGCAGACAAAAACATAAAAACTCCAGGAAACTGAAGATGCCACTCTGCAGAAATGGGCTCTGGACCAACGCACCGAAAAATGTTTGATAAATGTCAAATAAATGGTGTTTACTGCAGAAAGAGGCTGTCTAAGGAAAATGATAAACTAATCCAAAAGGGTTCAAAGAAACGCCTCAAAAGCGCCGCTGTGCAGCTGAATGCATAAATCAGTCCAATCAATAATGGAAATAATCAACTAACTCAGTCATTCATGAATTAATTATACAAAAAGGCAGTATGGTGAGAGATCAACACAGTCAGAGCCAAAACTGTACAAAAATAAACATTTTGCATTTGAGTTAAAAAAAACATTATTTCTAAACTTGTTCTACCAAAATCCTCCTTCAGCTTCATCAGGATCAAATTCTGACAAAAATCTATTAAAGACGTTTTGCAGTCAAATTGTTAATCTGTTCATGTAAAACAAACCATCGGCTCCGTCCCACTCTCAGTTTTCACCATGTTGATGTTGGAAGCTTTTCCAGCTGCAGCCTTTGCATCCTCAGAAAGCTCACAGGATGCAGCTTCCACCAAACATCCGTCTGGGATGACGGATGTTAGCGGGAGACGATATTCCTGCCAGCTGGGTCTGAACTGGGATCTTTGGTCGTTTCTGCTGCTCAGCCACTGGATTTGTTCTTGCTTTGGCCACTGCAACAAACAATTCAACAGAGTTCAGTTCAGTCCAAACTGGAGAAATATTCTCTCCTTAAAAACCAGACTGGAGTCCAGTCTGCAGGTCCAGAGGAAACGTTTGGATGTCAGACTGCGTCTGGTGGCTGCCGCTCTAAAATAATCTAATGGATTAAATTGATGGGTGTAAATCTGCTGTTTTCTGATCCAGGTTGAATGCTAACCTGATGTTGAACTGAATTCTTCTTCTTCTGTGCGGAAGCTGCGTGTTTCCAGACCTCTGAATGGAGCCGGCGTCCAGCCGGAGCGAGTGTAACGGGCCTTAATCCGCCTGCATCACTTCTATTCAATTAGACGGATTAGAGGCTAAACGCCTCTAACTTAAATCAGCGTGTGTGAATTTCTGTGAGCGGGCGGGAGGAAAAGACGGAGGCTGATGGAATAGTAAAAATAAAAACTCCAGAAACATCAAAAACATGAAACTGGAAACATCATGGATGTAGACGGAGCTGCCGTTTCCATCAGAGCCGCTCCACTAACACGCAAACTCTTCACTACAGACGGAGCACAAAGGGACTTCACTTCTCCAGTCCTGATGAATAAATGATGATGTAGGCATTGAATAATTACGCGACTCACTGGCAGCTTTAAATGTTTAAATTTCTTCTGCAATCAGCCTGTTTCCCTGGATTATGTGAAGCCGCCATTAAACGCTCAGATTGGCAAGTTTCTCCCTCAGCTGTGTGAACCAGATCGGGTCGGGCCGTGCGGGTCGGGTCCGGGTCGGGCCGTCCGGGTCGGGCCGTGCGGGTCGGGCCGCGGGGTCGGGCCGTCCGGGTCGGGCCGTGGTCGGGCCGTGCGGGTCGGGCCGTGCGGGTCGGGCCGTCCGGGTCGGGCCGTCCGGGTCGGGCCGTCCGGGTCGAGCCGCTGCGGGAGGCCGTCCGGGTCGAGCCGTCCGGGTCGGGCCGTGCGGGTCGGGCCGTGCGGGTCGGGCCGTCCGGGTCGGGCCGTGCGGGTCGGGCCGTCCGGGTCGGGCCGTCCGGGTCGGGCCGTCCGGGTCAGGCCGCTGCAGGGATTCTGCTGCCTGTTTAGATTTATAGCTACACTGAAATCCAGAGAAAAATGTTCCAGACGGGAAAGAGCTGGAAAAATGAAGACAGACGAGGCTTGTGTTCAGGACCTGATCTGAAGAAAGTCAGAACCATCCGACTGCCTCAGGCTCTGGTTTATCCACAGGACGCCGCCATGTTTGCTCCGATGTCCTGAAAACCAAACCGTTTGAAAACGATAAACCGTCGGATCTTCTGGATCTTTGTTCTGCTGAAAAACCCAAAGATGAGCAGATTTTACAAAGAATGTCCTGGTTTTATTCTGCACTCCAACAAACCTACCAGGGGCCTTCAGAGGGGAATCCATCCCACAGGATCACACATCCTCCACCATACCTGGCAGTGGGCATCACATGAAAACCACTGGGACTGTTTGTTGCAGCAAATCGTCGCTTCAAACAGCCAAACCTTGTTCTTATTGTTTGTGTGTATAATGATATTTGATTTTTCTATTATGATATGGCTTGAGATAAAGCAACTCAGGAAGAAATCCTGTTGTTCCAGTTTATGTTTGACATGGTAGGACACGGTATTTTTCTGTTGCATCATGGTTGTTATGGAGCATGTTCTCTTGTGTTTCCCATGTTGAAGAGAAATGGATCTATAGAAGCAGGAAAATAAAGGAGTTTGGAGTTTTATTGTCAGATTATGATGCTGCAGTAAAATATGAATTTATCTGAATTTATAGAAAATCACAATCATCCATCTGTATTATTATGGATCAACTGCTTTATGTCGCAACACACACACACACACACACACCACACACACACACACACACACAACACACACACACACACACACACACACACACACAGCTGACCCGGGGGTTGACTGAAGCCTCTGAATGGCTCCTGCAGGACGCCATACTGTGGTCCCATTTCTGACAGGCTTTTCTTTGCAGGCAGAGCCGGGGACAGCTTGGACATGGCGCGGCTTGAGGGAGGCTTTCCCGCGCCAACGGCCTTGGGTTAAACTTTAAAGTGAGCCACACAGACGGAGGCAAACAGCCAGAGAACAAGAGAACAGCCGGGAACATGGCTGCTCCCGGGGGAGGAGTGAGACCAGAGAGCTGATGGACGTCCGCCTTGTGCTAATCTCAATAATTAAACAAAGCAGGAAAACAGATGACATCTCAAGCGTCTTCTGAAGATTTACATCACAACGCAACGCTTACGGGGGACGGAGCGTGCCGTGATATGTTCATTAGCTGGAACCCACAGGAAATAAGAGCACAGCTGAGTTAGCAGGCCAATGTGGCGCTGAGCTCGGCACACGGCGGCCTGGGGACCCGGGAGGACGGGAAGACAGAGAGGAGGACACACATGCAGCTGAAACACGTGCCGCCACACACCCAAACGTTGCTATGGGATCTAATTAAGTCGTTAAGATGTTTGATTAACAAGTTAATGTTCACAATTGAGTTCTGAGGTTTAACTCCGGCGCGGCCAAAATCTCTCTGACACACAGAAGTTGGTGCAAAAGATTTTAAGGGAATATTAAAAGAAAAACACCAAAGTGCAAAGCAGTCAGGAAACAAGCTGATGAGCAGAAGGTTCTGCTGGGAAACCGGGTCACGTTCAATTCCTGAAGGTTGCAGCATGAGGCTCCCTTTCACACACCCATCACTCTGAGTGGAAAAACAAACAGCTGGAGGTTTTTATTTGGTCTCTAAATCCTCCACATCTCCATAAAACGGATCCAACTCTTGGCATCAAACCTCACACTTCCAGGGTTAGCATCTGCTGCTGACATCTTGGTGCCTTCAGGCGCCTGGTGGAGTCCAGGCATCAGCGGGTCAGGACTGACCGCCTTCACTCATCAAAACGTTCAGCTCATCATCAACAGAACGTCCCAGAGAAAAATGATGGTTCTGAACTGGAACCAACACATCCGGGCCCCCGACCGCCCAGCTGGTGCTACTCACAGGTCCTCTCCTCGGTGGCCTTGGCCGGGACTTCCTCCACGCAGTCGGCCGGAAACCAGCCCCCACCTGGCCGCGGGCGCTGCCCTCCCAGAATCCTCCCTCTCCGATGCTCAGAACTGGGAGGAAAACAAAGTTTGACTTAAAAGCTGCTGCCAGTGTTTCACCAGCAGGTGTCAGTAGAGAGAAATGAAGGAAGCTTTGGGTGAAGCAGTGAGGCGTCATGTCGCTGCGCTCTGCAGCTCCGCTGGGTTATGGAGGCGATTCATGGTGCGTTTAGAGACGGCTCGGAAAAAAACGTTAGCGCGTGCTAACAACGGCTTAAACAGTCGTAAAGGCTGAGAAAAGCACAGTGGACGTTACACCCAGGCATGTCTTTGTGTCAGGGGATAATTATTCAATATGGAAAAACCAACAGAGCAAATAAATCATTAAATAGCCAAAATTAAATCAACTTTCTAATTTTATTTAATGCCATGCCACAGCAGACATATTTAATGAATAATGAACTTCATTACTCTGATTCTTCACCTCTAGCAGAAATATGAGGCTCAGACTCACGACGCTGAGTCTTTAGAGGTCAAAGGTTAATCTGGCAGGAAGAGTTTAAATAAAGCTGAAAGACGTTCATTTTTGTTTTATCTTAATGCATGGATGGAAATCTTCATCCTTTGGCCGAGCAGAGCCAGGTTTTAGTGGAGATAATCTCATACTGTGAATCTCTGCATGCTGTCTCCGCTCCACTCTGCAAAGTCCTCTGACTTTCTGGAACCGGCTTTAAGGAACAAACACTCCTATCATCTTTTGTCTCTTCACACATTTCTGTTCATTAGTTTTCAGTTTTTAAGGATTAGCTCCACCTTCTGTACCAGTCAGCTTCTCTGCAACAGAAGTGAAATAACATCTTTATCCTGCATGCAAAATGATCAAATGTGTCTCAAGTTTAGAAGCTGTGAGAACTAAATTAAAACTCCTTTATGCTTTATGCTTCCTGACGGATCTTTATTTCTGAACTCATAATGTTCTTTTCCAGCAGCGTCTTTCTCTGAGCTCAATAAATCTCCAAGATATCTGAAAAATTGTGTTTTCCTGCTTATCAGCCCTGCTGGAGATCGTAAGGTCTGGTTCTTACAATTTACTTTGCTTTTCTACACCCAGTAATAATTCACATTTCCTGAAAACAAAGACATCAAGAAATCTCTGATCCAGAAAATGTAATTCAAAGGAAAAAATCTTAAAATCTGAGTTTTTCTGGATGCAAATTTGGATTATTCACTTAGATTTTCATACATTTTTTGTATGAAAATCTATCATCTGCGTCAGGGCACGGTAAAGTCTATCTCCCACAAGCTGACTGACCTTTGACCCTGTCGCCTTTGTAGAGGTTGATCTCTCCTCGGCCTGGGCGGAGTAAGAGCGAACCACCACAAAGTGTCTGCCTGGAACGGCGCTGTACAGCTGGGGCCGAGCGCCTCGCCGTGACCGCTGGGGCTGAGAGAGGAGGCACAGACAGGGCAGGACGGGGTCAAGAGGTCAGGACTGGAGGACACGGGCCAACACCAGTTACTTCACTTTCAGACTTTGTTTCTTGGACATAAAACTTGATGTCCCACCAGATCCAGAACTGCACAGATCATAAAAATACACAAATAAAATGAACTTGATGCCTTGAGTGAGTGAAAAGTGTCATGGAAATCAGATTCCCATCCTTCCACTGATGGTTTCCAGAAGTGAATCGTTGCATTCCCCTGGAAAAAACTGGAAATAGTTTTTACTGTAATTATTTTCTAAAAATGTTGTTTGAAAATTTGGGAGCCTTATAAAATGTATCTGGATGCATCGCTTGTCCCAAACACTTAGCAAGACGTTTCTTTCTTTACCTTTTGAGACGAGTTTGAGGTGATTCGGTTTAGAAGTTACTCTTTGTTGACTTGTTCATGTTGGTTTGCAAGTTTGTTCATTTATAAAAATCACAAAGTTAAATAAAGTAAAAAAAATCAATGAGAACATCTTTAAAGGAGAAACGCTGAGAGCCAGAATGTGTGCAACTCTGTAAAGATTAAAAACCAGAATCTCTGAGTCCCTGTTGGTTGGTTTTTATCTGTTTGGTTCTGTGGATCAGAGAACCGGTTCTGTGGATCAGAGAACCGGTTCTGACCCACAGAGAACCGGTTCTGACCCACAGAAAACCGGTTCTGACCCACAGAGAACCGGTTCTGACCTACAGAGAACCGGTTCTGACCTACAGAGAACCGGTTCTGACCCATAGAGCTGGTTGTCTCAGAATGAGAACCGGTTCTGAAAATGGATTCACGTCTACATTTAAAACGCCTCCAACGTCTAAAACACTTCGTCGTTCATGTAGAGCAGGATACCATGGTGACATAGCGCCACCTAGTGGTTAGTATTCATAACAACACTGAAGCGAAACATGGCCTCAAAATGACAGAGATAATCATCTGAAGCTGTCTGTGTTCATTTCCAGTCAGAAATGAACACATATTTTATTCTAAAAGCTGTTGAGAAGAGGAGAGGACAGGAGAGGAGAGGAGAAGAGAGGTGAGGTGAGGTGAGGAGAGGAGAGGAGAGGAGAGGAGAGGAGAGGAGAGGAGAGGAGAGGAGAGGAGAGGAGAGGAGAGGAGAGGAGAGGAGAGGAGAGGAGAGGAGAAACTAGGAGAATAAAAGAGGAGGAGAGAGCAGGAGGGAGGACTGTTTGCAGTAAGTGGGTCACCTTGTCCTGCAGACTCTCTCCTCCTCAAATGTTTGCAGGCCTTTGGAGAGCTAACCTCATTCAGAACCTTCTGAGACTGCTCACACATTTTCCCAGGGAAAGCCACGGACAAAGCTGCAGCCGCACTCCGAGCGGCTGGAAATAGCGCCTACCACCGAGAGGCCAGCTCTGCACCGGAGCACAGGAAGTGACACGGAGCTGTGAGGAGCGTTTAGAGTGAACACGCTGCTGCGGGTCTCCGCTCTGCTTGTGATTTCAGATTAAAGGTTCAACACACAAGGAGAAACACGGCAAGCAAAGACACACAGTAAACGGTTGAGTTCAGTTTGGGTCCCACATGCAGGTTTGGGGACCAGAATGAGAATAAAGTGATTTTCATAAGAAAACAGCCCTGATGCAGTTATAAAGACCAGTTCATCTAGTCAGTGTGAGTCTTTCTAACAGATTTAGTCGTTTCATTTTAAAGTCCTGTTAACTTCACAAGATGCTCAGCATTACTCATTTTACTGTAAAATTATTATTTCATACTTTGTCATATTATTATGACTTGATTCTTGTGTTATTACCTCTTTATTCAGGTAAGTTGATTAATGTCACATTATTACTTTTTGGTAATAATGTGGGAAGATAAATAATCTTATTTAACAGCTGACATGTCCACAGCAGCCACCAGAGGGCGTAAGAGCAGCGGTGTCCCAGGCAGCAGCCGAAGCGTCCGACAGGATCGCGGGACTGGTACTGGTACTGGGTACTGGTACTGGTGTCCCGGTTTCCTCAGGGTGGATCCAGTCTGACCAAGACGAGACAGGCGCACTCATCACGCCGCTGCGGCATCAGCTGCAGCTCACTGATGCTAAGTGCTAACAGAGCCGCTAACTGGTGTCTGATATGTTCTGGGTTTCAGCATCACTAAAAACAGTTTTTATATTTTAAAACTCAGCTGACTTACAATGTTTAACAATCTGGACTAAAACTACAGAGACGGATTAAAAACCCTGAAAACAATAAATGTTTCTATTGCCTGATACATCTGGATTCACATGAGGATGAAGCCAGAAGCTGATCGGTGAGCTTATTGGAGAGCTGATCAGAGAGCTGATCAGAGAGCTGATCTGCTCTCCGATCTGCTCTGCCCTGGGATCCGGTCCAGGAGAACCAGAACAAGGCTCAGATCCCTGAACTGCAGCAGCAACGAGCCGATCTGGTCGCAGACTCCAGACCTCAACACGCCTCCCATCAACCAATCGGCAGCTGCTGAGAGAAAGATAGTTTCCTGAATGTTTCTGAAGCAAAACTCAACACAATGAAGTTTCCGTTTCTGGATTTTCTGACATGTTTGTGTCTTGATCAAATTCTCAATGTGACCAAATATTCAGTTTCAGATGAAGCTAAATTACACAGAATCATTTTTTCCTTCAAACGTTACACCGACCCCCTGCTGCTGGTGGAGGGATTATGTAATCCCAATGTTTCTGCTATAATCCCATAATATGACCCACACATGACCTGTAATAATCTGGCATTGGACAGCGTATTGTTCTGTCAACAGTGATATTAAAGATGGTGAACGGACCTGAGCAGCTGCTGCAGCCTGCATCTCTGCTGCTGCGCTCAACAAAAACCTGGCAGACATTCAGGAGCTGCAGCTCCGTGTTCAGTTTGTTCAACCAAAAACAAAAGAAAATCTGTGAAAACCTGATGCTAACAGCCGAGCACGGCGGTGGAGGGCTGGTGATGGGGGCTTGTTTGATTTATCAGAAAACCTTGTGGACTGACTCTGAGTGTCCAACAACGTGATCCAAACCCAGCAGCAGATCTAGAACCAAACGGCTGAAAAGAAAAGAATCAGGGCCTAGTCAAAGTAAGCAGCTCGACCTGATGCTGAGGTGGGTAGTTTTTATAGAATATCTGAATTTTGCAGCAGATTTCTGCTATAAATCTGATTTATCTGATGAGCTGTCACAAGATGAATCTAAACTGATTTTAACCAGTTGGAACAAAAAGTTAAAACATCTGAGATTATTGTGTTTAATGTGGGAAGAAAATCCTCATAATTAGACAGAAATCTCAGTATTCCCTCTTCACAGTGGTGTGAGCTGTGGATCTCTGCAGCTCCTCCAGAGTTTCCTCACAGCTGCTTCTCTGTCTGAACAGCTGAGCTGTGATGCCTTCAGGGAAAGTCAGGGCAAACCAAACGCAGATGGACTCTGATGAGTCCCTCTGTATCTGACTGTCGTTGCTTCCTGTAAGGTTTAACCGTCTCCTGTTTCTGTCCTGTTTCTGTCCTGATGTCAGTTTTTTAATCTGCGAACATCATTCCAGGCTCTGCGTCTTTGCTGATTGTGTTTTCCGTGTCGTCTGCAAATTTCTTTATGAGCCAATCAAATCAAATCAGGAGAATTTCATAATCGCATCAAAGTCGCAGAGGAAATCTGCTCCGTGCTGTAATCGGGTTTGCGCTGCAATAAAACTGCAGGATTTCTTCAGACGCGATTCCTTAATGGCGTTCTGCGGCGCAGAAGCAGCGAGGCGACGCGGCGCACAACGCCGCCGTCTCTGGTGAAATCACAGAATATTAACGGCGAGATGTTCATGAGTCACATCGAGCAGAAGCAGCCAAACCTCCGGCCCGTCCTGACACGGAGGACGCGTCTTTCTCACCACGGCGAGCTGGGAGGCGGTTGCCATGGCGCCCAGAGGGGTTACTGACAGCCGTCAGCGTTGGGTGGATGGAGCGGAGCGGAGCGGAGCGGAGCGGAGCGGGCTCGCAGTGTGACACGTTGAGTGGAGCGCAGGGAACGCCACGGAGAGGCTGTCATGAGTGGGCGGCGGCCAGGCGATTCGGGGGGCAAAAACAAAGACTGGAGGAAAAACAGAAGGGAATCATGGGAGTTTCTGACAGCGTTACATCTCCACTGCTTTCATCTGATCAGGATTTAAGATTTCACAGAGTCCAGTGAATCCAAGCTCAGGTTCGACACAAACTTCACAGCATTCAGTGAAAACGCTGACGGACGGTTAATATTGGCCCAGTTTCATTTATGATTTGATACAATATGTTCAACCGTCTGATAACGATGCGAACGCGACTTATCATGCAAACACAGTTTGTCTTTTTCTGCAGCTTCCTGCTGTTGGGCCAAATAAGAACAAAAAATGCTCCATCTGAACCGATCCAGTGAAACGGCTGGTGTAAATAATGACGTGTTTACTACAGCATCGTGTTTTAACAGAGTTTTGTCTCCAGAGGACAGAAAATATGAAGGATTTTCTTGTGTTTTTCTTCCAAAACCAGAAGTGAGAAGCTGTAACGTGGTGAACTCTGTCACTAATTGCCTCGTTTCTGTAAGTGGGCCAGCAGAAGCCGAGCAGAGCCACAGCTTCAAATGTCCCTGATATCTAACCCTGATAGGCGAGGAGTGATTAGGTTACAGACCTACATTGGTAATAATGTTCTGTTTTATAATTATCACCAGCAGGTCATCTTTTTCTGAGCTTTAAGGAGAATCCAGCAGTGACAGAAGCGGCTTCCAGTAGGATAAATAAATCATCCGGTTCCGTTTTCTCCAGCCGGTTTAAACACGTATTAAACTGCGTCACGTTTTTTCTGTCAGTGAGCGAAGCTCCCGCTGATCCGTGTTTGTCCTTATCAGCAGCATGCACATTCCCAGAGAGCAGACCTGAAACACTGAAACGTGTCGACAGAAACAGGCGATGAGCAGCTGCTCAGATGCCAAATTAATCCACAGCTGGGCTAAAA